ACAGCAGATTAAAACCTTTATTCGGTGGTGCAAGAAACTTTCTGACTCTTAAAGTCCAAAAAACACAAGACCCAAGGGCAGTTGGAGTCCACTCTCCAGTGGTCATCCATAATCAATTAATTGCCCAAGCAGATTCCTAGAAATATCTTGGATTAATAATCGACAATAAATTATTGTGGATTGCTCAATGATTATGTCTGCAACAGGGTCCAACAGTGGCTACATCTTCTGCCCAGGCTGAGGGCCTTTGGTGTTAGTCAGAAAGTCATGCTGCTCTTTTACCATGCTGTTATATAGAGCATCTTTAGCTATGGCATTTCTTCCTGGTTTGGTAATGTTGAAAAACACCATCATGGTGTTTTTTTAATGGAGCGCATTACCGGCTCTTTTTATTATCTTCATAGGGGAACATCTTACAGTTTCACACAGACAGTCCCACAGAATGATCATATTCTCTACTTCCCATCTCCATGTATGGAGTTGCTTCCTGTCTTTCTGCTTCTACCTTGTTAATCAGCTTTTTCTGTGTGTGTGTGTGTGTGTGTGAGCAAGGTTATTCTACCCTCCTCCCCTCTGCAAGCTTTGGCCTAACACCTGGGAATAGTAAATTTGCTGCCCATCCTTAGATTATACATGGCATATACTTCTTCAATATGATCAATACGTTTTGCTGCAGCTTTAATTTAGCTCTTTACTTCTTTTAGCTTAAAACATGTATAAATATCTTCAGTAACCTGTCTGACCAAATGAAGGCATAACTTAATTGCCTGACTCAAAGAGTAATGAAGCTGATGGGAGTCAAGCAGCACCCTTCACTTCAGACCATCTTCAATGAAACAATAACCAGACAAGCCCAGAAAATCATCTCAGACTCCACTCATATTCTTTATTCAGAGTATCAGTTTCTTCCTTCAGGTTGACATCTTAGACTCCCTGCCTGTAGATTGAACCGCTATAATTACTCACTTGTTCCGCTTTCCATTAAGTTAATAAACAGGACCGAGCAGTAAATTGTGGAATAGGCAATGGTATTCAAAATTTAAACTAAACTGACATGCTTTATATGTATTCATTATCCCATATAACAGATTTTTAAAGAAGGGTTTTTATACATTTTTATTATGTATGTTATGTAACATGCTTTCTTATGTATTTATTTATTGTCTTATAATGGAATTTCTATAGCAGTGTTTTTATGTGTGAATGCAGTGTGACAGACAGTTTGGACTATGCAGCACCCAGAGTCTGTACCCAAATCAAATGTTCTTTTGGACGATAAAGTTAATCTAATCTAATCTAAAATAAGAAAAAAGGTCCAGGGAATATTATTGTAGGATTGCTAAAGAACGTATTTGTAAATTAAGTTAAAAATGTATATTTAGTTATACACAAAAAAGAAACATTTCTGTCCTGATCAGACCTGTAACTTTTTCTTTAAGAAGCTCTTCTGTCCACCACTCTTTAGCTGTATCAAGTGAAGGGGAAATTCCCAGTAGTGGACTCTTGATCCATTCCTCCTGAGTGTTTGGTCAGGTTTGCAGAGCACCTTAGTCACAAACACCTTTGAGCTCTTCTTACCACAAATTTCCAGTGCGAATGAAATCAGGACCTTGTTATGTCCCTTTTGTCCTTAAGATTCTTTGAAACAAATTTGGTGGTATGTTTGTGGTATTTGGCTATTTAAACAGAGCAAACATTCACCAGCTTTAACTTCCTGGTTTATGTCCTTTACAAGAATCAGCAAAGACAAAATAAACAGAATAAACCCAAGCCTCTTAGATGTTTTGAGTGTTGCTATATTATCTCCATGTAATCCTATTCCCCATGTTGACATTTTTTTTATATATATCTGCATATATATATCTATATCTGCAACAAAATCCTCCACAGCATGATGCTGCCACCTCTTTACTTACAGTTAGGATTGTGTTTTCTGCTACCCCTTTTCCCACTGGCTGAAAAACCTGTTTAAACCCGGGAAAAATTGCCTTTTAGTGGCAATGGGAACAGCTCAAAGTGTTAAAATCGCCTCGGCTCTGATCAGCATGCTGTGGGAACACCAGTTCCAGGTTGACCCGCTACATTACGTGACACAATCGAGCTTAACGTACAGACGTAAAGACACCGCGTCTGATCTAACAAGCCGAAACAACTCTGTACATTTGATAAACATGGCACAGCACTGGTAGAGCAAAATAATAAAG